GCAATTCAATTATCTTAGAGGGCCTCAGGGAAAATTAGTTCTGTAAAGAACTATTACTATATTTTTATTATTAGACATATAATAGTGGTTAAAAATAGGAATGTTCATGATTATTACACGGACAAATTAACCATAGATGTGAAAATAAGGATGAACTTAATTTATAAGATATATTGCGCCCGCAACACCCAGTTAAAAAGAGATTTCCATGGAGTGGTTCATACAACAACAAAAGATCTCTTGCAAGCCTGGTATCTTTGATGAATTTATTTGGACTACTTCCTCATAACATCTGACATAGAAACATTTGAAGTTTCATCAGATATAGCGATAAGTTATAGATCAGACAATTCTCCGAAATGTATTACTTTAAGATTTTTGCGCCGAATAAGAGGGAAGGGTATCTGAAAATTAAAATAAATAGTCCTTTGAGGGAAGCTGAATTTGTTGAAAAGTAAAAGGGAGCATCCAGTATTTGATTGAAAAATATCAGTCTGATCCATATATTGGTATTAAAACAGAGGATAAACAGTTTAAATTAAGCAATTAGCTATTATAGTATAAGATTAAAACGAAAGTCCGTGGTTCTGCGATTTCTTTTTTCCCTATTTGAGAAGTAAGAATGAAATAAAAAAGAAAAAGATTCTCTAAATAAGTTGTTGTTCGTTATTGAATAGAAAAACTCTTGAAAAGTAACTTGCCATCAGTATACCAAGAATTGGAAGGGTTTGAGCTAGAACTAGACACAGGAACTACCTAGTTTTTACAATTTAGAAAAGACACAATGCATAGAAAAGATTATACCCAAACTTATTCTCGTTTACTATTTCGAGAGTACAGTAAAACAAATGTATACTACTTTTAAACGAATGTTACTAGTACTTAAATCTAACAGGGACACAATTCTTCAACATAACAATCCTTTTATTACTAAACCTAATAAAGAAGAAGACAAAGTGCGTCATTATATGGGACCTTTACCAATACAGGAATGTCTGTCTTCTCTTAAAGGTATAAAGAATTTCAAATCACCGTGTATAGGTGAATTCAAAATTGACTGGAATGATATTAAGATACCACTGGTAAAATGTTTAACTGAGGCTTTAGAATATGAAAAATATTTAATCACTCAAAGACAAGGACTCATTACTTGTATTCCAAAGGATTGATTGATGTTTGCTGTCAGCACAAAAAAAATATCAATTAATGAATCCTTACCAAAGGAAGGTAAGTCAAAGATTTTAAGATCGACTTATCACATTGCTGTGTGTAGACTATAAGATTGCTACAGATCGATCTAGCAAATAGACTAAAAATGTGTTGGTAAATAATTAGCCAAACACTAAAAGGTTTTCTCAAAGTTAAGTATATAAGGAGAATGTACTAGACTTATTTGTGACCTACTCGAAAAGATTGAAGATGGTGACACACTGAACTATTAGTTTTAGTCGATTGTGCAATGGACTTTTATATAACATACATCATATTGATTGAATCATACATTCATAAGTTGGATACTGTGATGTCTCTAGCGTAGTGTAAAATCATGGTTATTGCCATAGAAAGAAACGTCCGTCAAGGATCTTCTCTTTCTCCCTGTGATCTATCGTAACAACTAATGAATCAGAATTTGTATTCATTCGATATGCGGATTATTCTTCCCGAAGGCTGAGGCCTGGACGATATGATAAGTCCTTCAATCAATGTCAACATTTGTTTGATAAATTTTCAGAATGTGCTCGTCTGAAGTGTAATGCTATAACTGATCCAAAATGGACTTGGTAAACAGGTATTATTGAATAACTCTTTCTAGACTAAAATCATGTTTTGAATCTCTCGAGTAGGTTCGAATAATTAGGTGTATGGTTTAGGCTTGCCAAAGTAGACAAGACTGTGTAATTTAACAGCTATGATAAAATGTATGTAGTCATTATTACATACCTTGAATTACAGAAAATTAATGTATATTGGAAGGGTTCTAGTTAAACTTTAGAATCACTTCCAATATTTGTATACATAACACTAATACGCGCTTTGGTAAAGGATTAAAGTATTATAAGGGACAAATCAAGAATCTAGGAAGAGTGTCTAGTATACCCTTTGAATGTAATCACAACAGCAGAAGTAAAAATAATTTATGATATTTTCGTTTTTATTCATATTGAGTTTATTCCGCAACCAGTTTATTGAATAATGAACAGTAAACACTTATTTCTTAAAACATATCTGCATAAACAATAGTTGTTTTCCTTCCTACAGCTGTGCTTTCCCTCACCTAGTAGATATAAAATCGACCTCCATTAGCTGCGCTAGTTGAGTATTCCTTTAGCGCAGTATGTAGAGCGATGTATTATTGTGGAAGGATCCTATGTTCGAAACCAAGCTATAACAGTAGTACTTTTAGGAAGAAAGTCATGTTCTCCGACTGTCCACTACTTGAAGAAATAAATCAGGATTGACTTTATTCAAGATCTGTTTACAGTACATATAATATTGATCATAATAATGCCGTTTAGTGAGTAGCTGGTCAACTCGATCTAAACATTTTTCATCAATATTATTGGATACAACATGGAAAAATGCAGGAAAAAATCAAACAGAAACATTAAAAATTGTAGACCCATCTTCAGTTTTTAGCGTGTATTTTAAGTTAGCGAATTTTGTGATAAAAGTAAAATCACAAAAATACTGAACTCCGAGGAAAATTCAACTAGAGGCTCTCAAGAGCCTGTGTCGCTCACCTGATTCTACTTTGGTTTTGGAAATCATGTAAAAATAGATTAAAATCATAACAGATACCCTAATAATGAGTGAGGCCAAATTTGGTTTAATATTGGTCCTGTAATTTAATAAAAAATCCTGGTGGCCATCTTGAACAGTAAATCGGCAACAAAGTAGCAACACTTAATTAGCACCTCATAAGAAACATTTATGCCATGTTTTGGTTTAATTCCATTCAGTGCACCTCTAGAAGAAGCATTTGTATGTATTTCCCATATGGTCTTATGTTAAAGGAAGTCCCCCCATTGGCGGCCATCATGGATGAAGGATCAGCTTCAAAGTAACAAAACTTAGTCAGCACCTCATAAGGAACATTCATGCCATGTTTGGTTTCAATCCATTCAGTATGTGGTTCTCTAAAAGAAGACATTTGTATGTATTGTCCATAGGGTCCTTTGTTAAACATTGTCCCCATCTGGCAGCCATAATGGATGAAGGATCAGCTTCAAAGTAACAACACTGGGTTAGCACCTCAAAAGGAACATGCATGCCATGTTTGGTTTCATTCCATTGAATGGTTCTCTAAAAGAAAACATTTGTACGTATTTCTCATAGGGTCCGATGTTAAACTAAGTCCTCCGCTGTCGGCCATCTTAGATTATGGATTGGCTTCATAGTAACAACACTTGGTCAGCACCTCATAAGGAACATTCATGCCATGTTTGGTTTCATTGCATTCAGTGGTTCTCTAAAAGAAGACATTTGTATGTATTATCCATAGGCTCCTATGTTAAACTAAGTCCCCCGCTGGCGGCCATCTTGGATGACGGATCAGCTTCAAAGTAACAACACTTGGTCAGCACCTCATAGGAACATTATGGCCATGTTTGGTTTTATTCCATTCAGTGGTTCTCTAATAGAAGACATTTGTATGTATTTCCCATAGGGTCCCATGTTAAACTAAGTCCCCCGCTGGCGGTCATCTTGGATTATGGATCGGCTTCAAAGTAACAACACTCGGTCAGCACCTCATAAGGAACATTCATGCCATGTTTGGTTTCATTCCATTCAGTGGTTCTCTAAAAGAAGACATTTGTTTGTATTTCCCATAGGGTCCAATGTTAAACTAAGTCCCCTGCTGGCGGCCATCTTGGATTATGGATCGGCTTCATAGTAACAACACTTGGTCAGCACCTCATAAGGAACATTCATGCCATGTTTGGTTTCATTCCATTCAGTGGTTCTCTAAAAGAAGACATTTGTATGTATTTCCCATAGGGTCCCATGTTAAACTAAGTCCCCCGCTGGCGGCCATCTTGGATTATGGATCGGCTTCAAAGTAACAACACTCGGTCAGCACCTCATAAGGAACATTCATACCATGTGTAGAGTACGAAGACTAAGGTACATGTATTTTATTGTGACATGTGTGATGTACATGTAAGTTTACATAGACAGGGAGAAGATATTTTTGATGTATGTTTTAATTGGTATTAATAAAGCATATTGTTTAATATTCTGTATTTTTTTATGAAAGTCTTATTATGTAGGAAACAGTAACTGTGTGAAATAACTTGTACTATATTACTTGTAATGATTGTAGTCTGAAACATATTCATAATTGAAGCAAATAAGTTTTAATTAACATTTAATTAAGTAAAGTTAGAACAATTACAATATTATGATTTTCTAGAAATATTGAATTACTGTCATTTGAATATTTGATAAACTATTTGAAGTTCATGTTATAATTTACCAGTTCATAGTAATAATCCACTGAATGTCTTGTATTTTTGTGATGATCCAATTGTAGCAACTGTAGTAGATCGTAGTAAATCTCGTAGTAAATCCACGCACCTTGCTTGAATTTTATGAATGAAATGTACTGACATGCGCAGTGGAACCCATGTGTCACTTGGGACGATTTTTCAATAAAAACACTATTTTTACGTTTCGGCAACTGTTTTTAAATACTCTTTGTAATTCCTTTTAGTATTTGTAGTCAACGTCTTCAATGTTTTGCAGATGTTAATGCTCACTATCCTTGATATTTGTCATTTTGGATAGCCGGTGACACACATAACTTTTGGCAATGTTGTTTACGTATTGTGACTTCCGGTGAAGTTTTATTGGTGTATTTTTAGCTACTATAGAAATTTGTTTAGTACCATACAAAATTTGTTTATTATATGACTGTTACTAAAATTGTATATTATTATGATTTTTGTAATTTATTTGAGAATTCAAATATTTCGTTGGACAGCAAGCGCGCGATCCAACAATTTTCCAACTTTGCCAACAATCCAACATTGACGTAATTTCGACGCTTGTTCGTCAGTTCTGCTTAAATCTTTGGTCGTTACAGTTAGTATTTTATTTCGCTCATCAGTAATTTTTGTCAAAATGGTTAATTTTTCTCACAAACTTCATTTTTTTTTGGGGTTAAATTGTAAAGGAAAATAGTAAATTTAGCGTTTTCTAAGTTAGAAAGGAATATTTCATTTTTAGCGGACTCTTAGGAGCCGGACTCCTACATTTTTGATCTTTTGCTTAAAGTATTTTATTCTTTTAGTAAATTTAGGAAAGTTCTTAAAACTGTTTTAAAATATCTTTTGGGTTAATTATTGTATTATTGCTGGCAAAGCTTAATTTCAAGTTTATCTTTTAAAGTTGGGATTAATGTTATTGTACATTTAAATTTAAAATTGTAGTTCACATTTACTGTTAACGTTTGTCTTATTTTTTTAATAAATACAATTAAATAGGAAAACATTTGGCAATTAAGGGATAATTTCCTAAAGGTCTGGAAATTATAATAAACAAAACAGTTTATGTAAGGTATAAACTGTATTTCATTGTTAGTTTTTATTCAGGAAAGGTTCTGAATATAATTAATAATAATAAACATTTTTTTATGTAACTGGTGAGGTATCAGTTATTACTTTATACAAAAATGTCAGAAAAGGGTATTCTGACTAAATTCACTTGAAATTAGTATTTTCTGTAAGGGTAATTTATTTTCTTGGTAATATAGCAGGACTCAGCCTTTTATGTATTTTCTAACATACCAACATACAATTATATTGGTAATAGCAAGTGTTATATTTTTTTTAGAATTGCACGGACAAAGTTATTCTGCAATCAAAAAGATTTTATTAATCATCTCTTGAGTGTAGAGATAAATTATTACATGTATACTGAATAGATTCTTGTCATATCATTTAAGAGTCTATAATTTAATTATCTTACTACTTAAAATTGTTATTTATCCTGAATATTAATGAAAATCTCTGATTCTCAAAATGAATAAAATATAGAAACTTATATATGTTACTTTTAACAAATGCCTATATTATACTGACCAGATCATATCTTGTCATACTGACTTAGCAATTTCCAAAATACTCATAATTTTGAGTAAAACTTTTGCGTCAAGCATTTCAAGCCCCTGCCCGCTACATAATTTTGGCATCCACGGTGGGATTCATTAAACTTTATTGGATCCTGTGATACGAACCTTTTGAAGTGTAATAGATTATCAGTGAAATGGGTAAACCAAGGTCTGTTCGATCAAGAAAGACTGACACATATAATAGAGGACATAGTAGCCAATTAGAATCAGAAACAGAGGACAGTGAAATCCATACTCTCCACACCACTGATGACGAAACATGTCATTCTGGAAGTGATCAAGTTTATGAAGCTTCTCATGACTTGTCTGACATAGAGACTGAGGAAGAAGAAGAAACAATAATTTTAAGACCCAGATCCAAATTAAGTAAGAGACCAAGTCCTAGAAAACCTGGCTCTCCAAGAAGGTCCTCCAGATATAGAAAGCAAAATGATCTAGAAAATAAGTCAGAACCTCAAAACCAAGGTGATTCTGGGATATATGATATTATTAAAGTAGCTATACAAGATATGACTGGTCAAGTAGTATCAGCCATTCAAAATGCTTTTATTGGCATTACAAAACAATATAGGCATACTAATGCTTCAAGTGAGCAACAAAAACATGCTAAAAGTATAACAATTGCTAATAATAGTAATTCAATTTCTAAAGTTAGAAAAAGTAAACCAAGTTTTACATCTAATAGTAATTTAGATTTTACATCAGCATCTGAGTATGATGAAACTGATGATGAAATATGTAGTGATGCATGCTCTGATATGGATACTAATAGTATTGACACAGATGTTATAACCCAAAGTAAACGATCAAAATCGAAAATTGGGTTTTCCAATGCTAAACTCCCATCCTTCACAGGAAAAGAAAAATGGGAAGTCTGGATTAATAGGTTTGAAGCAGTAGCAAATCTACAAAATTGGGATAATAAAACTAAATTGAGTGAATTGTTAACCAGACTTCAAGGGGAAGCTGGTGATTTTGTGTTTGACCAATTAAATAGTAAAACATTAAAGAATTACTCAAAATTAGCAACATAACTTAAAAATGGATTTGGAGTCTTTGAAAATAAAAGAACATATAAAGTACAATTTAACAGACGTACCCAAAAATCAAATGAAGACACTGCAGACTATGCTGCGGAATTAAAACGCATATATGACAAGGCTTATTCAAACAGACATGCTAAAATTAGGCAGGAAGACCTGCTTCAAAGATTCTTAATGGGATTGTCAGATAATGAAGCAAGAATTCATATTGAACTGACAAAAGACCCCAAAACTATTGAGGAAGCATTACAGGAGGTTATTATCTATAAGGAGACAACTTCAGAGACACAAGAGGGTAATTCAGAAAAAAATACCAAAGTAAGGCAACTAAAGAAACAGAACACCAATTTCAACAAACAAGGTTCTACAAATACACAAAAAATTGTTATTTCGATAACCAAAGATGAATTACAGAAAATGTTTGACCAAATGTACCAGGACAAGAAAAGAAATGATGATACACATACATCAGTAACAGGACACAATTATCATGATGAAAGACAGTTTGACAGACAGCCCTTCAATGTCAATGCACCATCCTATGTTCCAAATGGGAATTTTAGAAAGAATAATTCAGACAGAAATGCTAACCCAGAAACTATTCCAAAATGTTATTATTGTGGTCAACCAGGTCATTATGCCAGAAAATGCTATAGTAATCCCAATAGGCAACCAGATTATAGAAATAATAAGGCTACTCCTCCAAGACAGATGAATATGCCTTACACTCCCCCCAACAGTAATACTAGTCCGTCACAAGGTGAATTTAAATCAGATGGATATACATTAAACTAGAACGGGTTAACCCAGTTGACCAGAAGTTAGCCCTTAAGTTTAATGAAAATGGTCATAAATTGGACAATATTGGTGTACATGAACCAATAAGCAGTATAACTTTATGTAATAGTAAAAGTGAGGAAAATATTAGTAATAGTAATAGTATTGAGGAGAATATTAGCAAAAGTAATAAGGAAAATATTAGTAATAGTAATGAGGAAAATATTATTATTAGTGGAAATAATAGTAATAGTAAAGAGGAAAATATTAGTAATAGTGGAAATATTAGTAATAGTAATAGTAAAGAAGAAAATATTAGTAATAGCGGAAATATTACTAATAGTAATGAGGGAAATATTAGTAATAGTAAAAGTAATAAGGAAAATGTTAGTAATAGTGAAAATATAGTAAAACAGGGAGATACCTGTAATAGTAATACATCTTCTGTCACTTTAGAAGATAAAAATTTAGTTTGTTCTACACCAATTTTAGGTAGTGAACCATCAATTGCAAGTAATGTAATTGCAAGACAAGTACTCCGAAGTGATGGAGTTTATGTTGAAGGACATATCCAAGGGTCTGAGGTTAATTTTACTGTAGATACAGGGGCAGGTCGGACAGTGTTATCCGTGTATGCCTTTAATAAAATTCCTCATGTTAATAGACCAATCTTGGAAAAGTCTAATACTTTAGCTTGTGCTGATGGCGAACCCTTAAAGGAGCTAGGGAAAGCTATTTTTGAAATTCAATTAGGAAATTTATGTTTTAGTACAGAAATGATAGTAGCAAATATAGAAGATGAAGCTTTGTTAGGACTGGATGTTTTAATGAAATCTCAGTGGGGTCCTGCTGACATAAAGTTAACAGATGGAATTATACTGCTTGGTGGTCATGCTATCCATTGTACCCAAATTGGCCAAACAAATAAATTTATTCGAAAAATTTATGGAGAAGCTAACTATGAATTTCCCCAAGGTCAGAAATTTGTGTTGATGTTTTTGTTGACCGACTTGATGATGATTCTCCTGAAACAGTTCAAGATTGTATTTTAGAACCCTCTTTGAATTTTTTAGAAAGATTTTCATTAGTAATGGCACCATGTTTAGTTAACATAAGCCAAGATGTTACGTGTAAAACTAGCATAATGGACACATATGATTACAAAAACACTTTGTATCAAGATACAGTAATTGGTTCAGCAGAAGTTGTTGAACATGAACCAAAGATGTTAATAGAAAGTGAAGACACACTTGAATTGAATAACCAAAATACAATGAGAAGACTGAAATTTCATGACTCACATTTAGTGTCTGGAAAGGGGGTATCCAAAGAAGAAATAATTAGACATTTGACTAGTAAAGAAAAAGAACTTGTACCAGAACCACCTCCTACCAAAGCTACAGGAACACAAAAGAAACAGAAGAAGTCCCTAGTAGTTAATGACAATTAATTATATATTGAATAAAGATGTAATTTTATATTTTTAATGGAAATTTAAGGTATTGTTTATTAGAGTTGTTAACATCAAAAGTAATTTAAGGTTAAGATAAAAAGTTATTTAAAGTTACTTAGACTGAAAATTTATCTTTGAAATTCATGAAAAGTTTATAAGTTATTTATATTAGATATAGTCAAAGCTTTCGAGAATTAAAAGTTATTTTTGGGTGTATTTTTAAACTTATATTTAAATATTTTGGTACTGTTTGCATGGTAACTAAATTTTCCTTCGGAAAACCTCTGGTTCTTAGCCATGTTCCACATTGTTCGTAATGTTCAGTAATTTTCCACATTTGGTATATATATATATGTCTGTCTGGTATCTACTGCCCTCGTGCTGATGGTCATAATGGTGAACCTTCTGGTGTATCTGAAAAGTATTATATAAAAAGAATATATTTATGTATAATTTTTACATAATCTAATATATTATCATGTATTTGTGTTATAATCATAGATGGTATTAATAAGAAAACTAATTTCATTCAGTTTTGGAAATAATTCTTAAAATATTAAGTCTAATTTTCTTTTTAAGAAGTATATGCAATTAAGGCATAGCCAAAAAATCAAAACTTTAAATGGAAGCTTTTGCAAAAATTGAAAAGTATTTGCGGGGACGCAAATAATGGAAAGGGGGTAAAATGTAGAGTACGAAGACTAAGGTACATGTATTTTATTGTGACATGTGTGATGTACATGTAAGTTTACATAGACAGGGAGAAGATATTTTTGATGTATGTTTTAATTGGTATTAATAAAGCATATTGTTTAATATTCTGTATTTTTTTATGAAAGTCTTATTATGTAGGAAACAGTAACTGTGTGAAATAACTTGTACTATATTACTTGTAATGATTGTAGTCTGAAACATATTCATAATTGAAGCAAATAAGTTTTAATTAACATTTAATTAAGTAAAGTTAGAACAATTACAATATTATGATTTTCTAGAAATATTGAATTACTGTCATTTGAATATTTGATAAACTATTTGAAGTTCATGTTATAATTTACCAGTTCATAGTAATAATCCACTGAATGTCTTGTATTTTTGTGATGATCCAATTGTAGCAACTGTAGTAGATCGTAGTAAATCTCGTAGTAAATCCACGCACCTTGCTTGAATTTTATGAATGAAATGTACTGACATGCGCAGTGGAACCCATGTGTCACTTGGGACGATTTTTCAATAAAAACACTATTTTTACGTTTCGGCAACTGTTTTTAAATACTCTTTGTAATTCCTTTTAGTATTTGTAGTCAACGTCTTCAATGTTTTGCAGATGTTAATGCTCACTATCCTTGATATTTGTCATTTTGGATAGCCGGTGACACACATAACTTTTGGCAATGTTGTTTACGTATTGTGACTTCCGGTGAAGTTTTATTGGTGTATTTTTAGCTACTATAGAAATTTGTTTAGTACCATACAAAATTTGTTTATTATATGACTGTTACTAAAATTGTATATTATTATGATTTTTGTAATTTATTTGAGAATTCAAATATTTCGTTGGACAGCAAGCGCGCGATCCAACAATTTTCCAACTTTGCCAACAATCCAACATTGACGTAATTTCGACGCTTGTTCGTCAGTTCTGCTTAAATCTTTGGTCGTTACAGTTAGTATTTTATTTCGCTCATCAGTAATTTTTGTCAAAATGGTTAATTTTTCTCACAAACTTCATTTTTTTTTGGGGTTAAATTGTAAAGGAAAATAGTAAATTTAGCGTTTTCTAAGTTAGAAAGGAATATTTCATTTTTAGCGGACTCTTAGGAGCCGGACTCCTACATTTTTGATCTTTTGCTTAAAGTATTTTATTCTTTTAGTAAATTTAGGAAAGTTCTTAAAACTGTTTTAAAATATCTTTTGGGTTAATTATTGTATTATTGCTGGCAAAGCTTAATTTCAAGTTTATCTTTTAAAGTTGGGATTAATGTTATTGTACATTTAAATTTAAAATTGTAGTTCACATTTACTGTTAACGTTTGTCTTATTTTTTTAATAAATACAATTAAATAGGAAAACATTTGGCAATTAAGGGATAATTTCCTAAAGGTCTGGAAATTATAATAAACAAAACAGTTTATGTAAGGTATAAACTGTATTTCATTGTTAGTTTTTATTCAGGAAAGGTTCTGAATATAATTAATAATAATAAACATTTTTTTATGTAACTGGTGAGGTATCAGTTATTACTTTATACAAAAATGTCAGAAAAGGGTATTCTGACTAAATTCACTTGAAATTAGTATTTTCTGTAAGGGTAATTTATTTTCTTGGTAATATAGCAGGACTCAGCCTTTTATGTATTTTCTAACATACCAACATACAATTATATTGGTAATAGCAAGTGTTATATTTTTTTTAGAATTGCACGGACAAAGTTATTCTGCAATCAAAAAGATTTTATTAATCATCTCTTGAGTGTAGAGATAAATTATTACATGTATACTGAATAGATTCTTGTCATATCATTTAAGAGTCTATAATTTAATTATCTTACTACTTAAAATTGTTATTTATCCTGAATATTAATGAAAATCTCTGATTCTCAAAATGAATAAAATATAGAAACTTATATATGTTACTTTTAACAAATGCCTATATTATACTGACCAGATCATATCTTGTCATACTGACTTAGCAATTTCCAAAATACTCATAATTTTGAGTAAAACTTTTGCGTCAAGCATTTCAAGCCCCTGCCCGCTACATAATTTTGGCATCCACGGTGGGATTCATTAAACTTTATTGGATCCTGTGATACGAACCTTTTGAAGTGTAATAGATTATCAGTGAAATGGGTAAACCAAGGTCTGTTCGATCAAGAAAGACTGACACATATAATAGAGGACATAGTAGCCAATTAGAATCAGAAACAGAGGACAGTGAAATCCATACTCTCCACACCACTGATGACGAAACATGTCATTCTGGAAGTGATCAAGTTTATGAAGCTTCTCATGACTTGTCTGACATAGAGACTGAGGAAGAAGAAGAAACAATAATTTTAAGACCCAGATCCAAATTAAGTAAGAGACCAAGTCCTAGAAAACCTGGCTCTCCAAGAAGGTCCTCCAGATATAGAAAGCAAAATGATCTAGAAAATAAGTCAGAACCTCAAAACCAAGGTGATTCTGGGATATATGATATTATTAAAGTAGCTATACAAGATATGACTGGTCAAGTAGTATCAGCCATTCAAAATGCTTTTATTGGCATTACAAAACAATATAGGCATACTAATGCTTCAAGTGAGCAACAAAAACATGCTAAAAGTATAACAATTGCTAATAATAGTAATTCAATTTCTAAAGTTAGAAAAAGTAAACCAAGTTTTACATCTAATAGTAATTTAGATTTTACATCAGCATCTGAGTATGATGAAACTGATGATGAAATATGTAGTGATGCATGCTCTGATATGGATACTAATAGTATTGACACAGATGTTATAACCCAAAGTAAACGATCAAAATCGAAAATTGGGTTTTCCAATGCTAAACTCCCATCCTTCACAGGAAAAGAAAAATGGGAAGTCTGGATTAATAGGTTTGAAGCAGTAGCAAATCTACAAAATTGGGATAATAAAACTAAATTGAGTGAATTGTTAACCAGACTTCAAGGGGAAGCTGGTGATTTTGTGTTTGACCAATTAAATAGTAAAACATTAAAGAATTACTCAAAATTAGCAACATAACTTAAAAATGGATTTGGAGTCTTTGAAAATAAAAGAACATATAAAGTACAATTTAACAGACGTACCCAAAAATCAAATGAAGACACTGCAGACTATGCTGCGGAATTAAAACGCATATATGACAAGGCTTATTCAAACAGACATGCTAAAATTAGGCAGGAAGACCTGCTTCAAAGATTCTTAATGGGATTGTCAGATAATGAAGCAAGAATTCATATTGAACTGACAAAAGACCCCAAAACTATTGAGGAAGCATTACAGGAGGTTATTATCTATAAGGAGACAACTTCAGAGACACAAGAGGGTAATTCAGAAAAAAATACCAAAGTAAGGCAACTAAAGAAACAGAACACCAATTTCAACAAACAAGGTTCTACAAATACACAAAAAATTGTTATTTCGATAACCAAAGATGAATTACAGAAAATGTTTGACCAAATGTACCAGGACAAGAAAAGAAATGATGATACACATACATCAGTAACAGGACACAATTATCATGATGAAAGACAGTTTGACAGACAGCCCTTCAATGTCAATGCACCATCCTATGTTCCAAATGGGAATTTTAGAAAGAATAATTCAGACAGAAATGCTAACCCAGAAACTATTCCAAAATGTTATTATTGTGGTCAACCAGGTCATTATGCCAGAAAATGCTATAGTAATCCCAATAGGCAACCAGATTATAGAAATAATAAGGCTACTCCTCCAAGACAGATGAATATGCCTTACACTCCCCCCAACAGTAATACTAGTCCGTCACAAGGTGAATTTAAATCAGATGGATATACATTAAACTAGAACGGGTTAACCCAGTTGACCAGAAGTTAGCCCTTAAGTTTAATGAAAATGGTCATAAATTGGACAATATTGGTGTACATGAACCAATAAGCAGTATAACTTTATGTAATAGTAAAAGTGAGGAAAATATTAGTAATAGTAATAGTATTGAGGAGAATATTAGCAAAAGTAATAAGGAAAATATTAGTAATAGTAATGAGGAAAATATTATTATTAGTGGAAATAATAGTAATAGTAAAGAGGAAAATATTAGTAATAGTGGAAATATTAGTAATAGTAATAGTAAAGAAGAAAATATTAGTAATAGCGGAAATATTACTAATAGTAATGAGGGAAATATTAGTAATAGTAAAAGTAATAAGGAAAATGTTAGTAATAGTGAAAATATAGTAAAACAGGGAGATACCTGTAATAGTAATACATCTTCTGTCACTTTAGAAGATAAAAATTTAGTTTGTTCTACACCAATTTTAGGTAGTGAACCATCAATTGCAAGTAATGTAATTGCAAGACAAGTACTCCGAAGTGATGGAGTTTATGTTGAAGGACATATCCAAGGGTCTGAGGTTAATTTTACTGTAGATACAGGGGCAGTTCGGACAGTGTTATCCGTGTATGCCTTTAATAAAATTCCTCATGTTAATAGACCAATCTTGGAAAAGTCTAATACTTTAGCTTGTGCTGATGGCGAACCCTTAAAGGAGCTAGGGAAAGCTATTTTTGAAATTCAATTAGGAAATTTATGTTTTAGTACAGAAATGATAGTAGCAAATATAGAAGATGAAGCTTTGTTAGGACTGGATGTTTTAATGAAATCTCAGTGGGGTCCTGCTGACATAAAGTTAACAGATGGAATTATACTGCTTGGTGGTCATGCTATCCATTGTACCCAAATTGGCCAAACAAATAAATTTATTCGAAAAATTTATGGAGAAGCTAACTATGAATTTCCCCAAGGTCAGAAATTTGTGTTGATGTTTTTGTTGACCGACTTGATGATGATTCTCCTGAAACAGTTCAAGATTGTATTTTAGAACCCTCTTTGAATTTTTTAGAAAGATTTTCATTAGTAATGGCACCATGTTTAGTTAACATAAGCCAAGATGTTACGTGTAAAACTAGCATAATGGACACATATGATTACAAAAACACTTTGTATCAAGATACAGTAATTGGTTCAGCAGAAGTTGTTGAACATGAACCAAAGATGTTAATAGAAAGTGAAGACACACTTGAATTGAATAACCAAAATACAATGAGAAGACTGAAATTTCATGACTCACATTTAGTGTCTGGAAAGGGGGTATCCAAAGAAGAAATAATTAGACATTTGACTAGTAAAGAAAAAGAACTTGTACCAGAACCACCTCCTACCAAAGCTACAGGAACACAAAAGAAACAGAAGAAGTCCCTAGTAGTTAATGACAATTAATTATATATTGAATAAAGATGTAATTTTATATTTTTAATGGAAATTTAAGGTATTGTTTATTAGAGTTGTTAACATCAAAAGTAATTTAAGGTTAAGATAAAAAGTTATTTAAAGTTACTTAGACTGAAAATTTATCTTTGAAATTCATGAAAAGTTTATAAGTTATTTATATTAGATATAGTCAAAGCTTTCGAGAATTAAAAGTTATTTTTGGGTGTATTTTTAAACTTATATTTAAATATTTTGGTACTGTTTGCATGGTAACTAAATTTTCCTTCGGAAAACCTCTGGTTCTTAGCCATGTTCCACATTGTTCGTAATGTTCAGTAATTTTCCACATTTGGTATATATATATATGTCTGTCTGGTATCTACTGCCCTCGTGCTGATGGTCATAATGGTGAACCTTCTGGTGTATCTGAAAAGTATTATATAAAAAGAATATATTTATGTATAATTTTTACATAATCTAATATATTATCATGTATTTGTGTTATAATCATAGATGGTATTAATAAGAAAACTAATTTCATTCAGTTTTGGAAATAATTCTTAAAATATTAAGTCTAATTTTCTTTTTAAGAAGTATATGCAATTAAGGCATAGCCAAAAAATCAAAACTTTAAATGGAAGCTTTTGCAAAAATTGAAAAGTATTTGCGGGGACGCAAATAATGGAAAGGGGGTAAAATGTAGAGTACGAAGACTAAGGTACATGTATTTTATTGTGACATGTGTGATGTACATGTAAGTTTACATAGACAGGGAGAAGATATTTTTGATGTATGTTTTAATTGGTATTAATAAAGCATATTGTTTAATATTCTGTATTTTTTTTATAAAAGTCTTATTATGTAGGAAACAGTAACTGTGTGAAATAACTTGTACTATATTACTTGTAATGATTGTAGTCTGAAACATATTCATAATTGAAGCAAATAAGTTTTAATTAACATTTAATTAAGTAAAGTTAGAACAATTACAATATTATGATTTTCTAGAAATATTGAATTACTGTCATTTGAATATTTGATAAACTATTTGAAGTTCATGTTATAATTTACCAGTTCATAGTAATAATCCACTGAATGTCTTGTATTTTTGTGATGATCCAATTGTAGCAACTGTAGTAGATCGTAGTAAATCTCGTAGTAAATCCACGCACCTTGCTTGAATTTTATGAATGAAATGTACTGACATGCGCAGTGGAACCCATGTGTCACTTGGGACGATTTTTCAATAAAAACACTATTTTTACGTTTCGGCAACTGTTTTCAAATACTCTTTGTAATTCCTTTTAGTATTTGTAGTCAACGTCTTCCATGTTTTGCAGATGTTAATGCTCACTATCCTTGATATTTGTCATTTTGGATAGCCGGTGACACACATAACTTTTGGCAATGTTGTTTACGTATTGTGACTTCCGGTGAAGTTTTATTGGTGTATTTTTAGCTACTATAGAAATTTGTTTAGTACCATGCAAAATTTGTTTATTATATGACTGTTACTAAAATTGTATATTATTATGATTTTTGTAATTTATTTGAGAATTCAAATATTTCGTTGGACAGCAAGCGCGCGATCCAACAATTTTCCAACTTTGCCAACAATCCAACATTGACGTAATTTCGACGCTTGTTCGTCAGTTCTGCTTAAATCTTTGGTCGTTACAGTTAGTATTTTATTTCGCTCATCAGTAATTTTTGTCAAAATGGTTAATTTTTCTCACAAACTTCATTTTTTTTTTGGGGTTAAATTGTAAAGGAAAATAGTAAATTTAGCGTTTTCTAAGTTAGAAAGGAATATTTCATTTTTAGCGGACTCTTAGGAGCCGGACTCCTACATTTTTGATCTTTTGCTTAAAGTATTTTATTCTTTTAGTAAATTTAGGAAAGTTCTTAAAACTGTTTTAAAATATCTTTTGGGTTAATTATTGTATTATTGCTGGCAAAGCTTAATTTCAAGTTTATCTTTTAAAGTTAGGATTAATGTTATTGTACATTTAAATTTAAAATTGTAGTTCACATTTACTGTTAACGTTTGTCTTATTTTTTTAATAAATACAATTAAATAGGAAAACATTTGGCAATTAAGGGATAATTTCCTAAAGGTCTGGAAATTATAATAAACAAAACAGTCTATGTAAGGTATAAACTGTATTTCATTGTTAGTTTTTATTCAGGAAAGGTTCTGAATATAACTAATAATAATAAACATTTTTTTATGTAACTGGTGAGGTATCAGTTATTACTATATACAAAAATGTCAGAAAAAGGTATTCTGACTAAATTCACTTGAAATTAGTATTTTCTGTAAGGGTAATTTATTTTCTTGGTAATATAGCAGGACTCAGCCTTTTATGTATTTTCTAACATACCAACATACAATTATATTGGTAATAGCAAGTGTTATATTTTTTTTAGAATTGCACGGACAAAGTTATCCTGCAATCATAAAGATTTTATTAATGATCTCTTGAGTGTAGAGATAAATTATTACATGTATACTGAATAGATTCTTGTCATATCATTTAAGAGTCTATAATTTAATTATCTTACTACTTAAAATTGTTATTTATCCTGAATATTAATGAAAATCTCTGATTCTCAAAATGAATAAAATATAGAAACTTATATATGTTACTTTTAACAAATGCCTATATTATACTGACCAGATCATATCTTGTCATACTGAATTAGCAATTTCCAAAATACTCATAATTTTGAGTAAAACTTTTGGGTCAAGCATTTCAAGCCCCTGCCCGCTACACATGTTTGGTTTCATTCCATCCAGTGGTTCTCTAAAAGAAGACATTTGTATGTATTTCTCATAGGGTCCTATGTTAAACTAAGTCCCCCGCTAGCGGCCATCTTGGATGATGGATCCGCTACAAAGTAACAACACTTGGTCAGCACCTCATAAGGAACATTCATGCCATGTTTGGTTTCATTCCATTTAGTGGTTCTCTAGAAGAAGTTCAAAATGTAAAATGTTTACGCCGACGCCGGACGTCGACGGACGACGGACGACGGACGCCAAGTGATGAGAAAAGCTCACTTGGCCCTTCGGGCCAGGTGAGCTAAAAAGGAAAGTCCCTAATCAAATGGCAAAAAATCAAAAACTCAAACGCATCAAACGAATGGGTAACAATTGTCATATTCCTGACTTGGTACAGGCATTTTCTTATGTAGAAAATGGTGGATTAAACCTGGTTTTAAAGCTAGCTTAACCTCTCACTTGTATGACAGTCGCATCAAATTCCAAATGATAACTGTCCATTACTAAAAAAAAAGCCCTTTATTTTCGGGAATTTACACCTATTTGGAATTTCTTTATTACATAGCAATAAAAAATAACAAAATGTGGTACGATTGCCTCCGAGATAACTTTCCATAAAGAACACATGTCTTCGCTAATGTTTAACCCAAACCGTGAAGTAAGGTCACTTTTTACAAAATGTGAAATAATTCAAGAGAAAACAAACAAAATTTACAACAGAATGAGCGAACAAGAAAAAATTGGAAGACAAAAACCAACGACAACCACTGAATAACATGTTCTTATCTTCACCTGTTCCTGAATTGCTGTGAATCACAGTTTATGGCAGTAAAGATCAGTCTAACTCCCATTTTATTTTTAATAAATGAAATTAATAACTCCATTACAATGTAGCGTGGTGATTGTTTTGCTTTATATAATCAAGATAATTATAGGTTTCATAGCGAGTGAGAATAATTGGATATCCATTGATTTCAATCCGAGTTGATTTAAATATAATAATGAACGAGCCTGTGGCGAGTTTATTATTAATATTTAAATTAGATAACGAGAGTTGATATCAAGCGATATCAAATTCTCAAAAGTTGTTAATTTCTCTTATGGTAAATATATTCTTTGTGTTAAAAAGAAATATATGTGCTTCGTTGGTCTAGTCTTTTACACATACCAGTATGACGTCATATAACTGTCCCGACGTCAAACTTTAACATCAGCAATGTACCTTATAAATCTATCACAGGGAACTGACTGAAAGTAATAGTTATTAAACAACCAAGTCGGTATATGTCATTTATACCGCACAGTTTATGCGACCTCACTTAACACAATGAAACGACGAGATATTTATATTTTTTTTTAAATAAAAAACATAAAGAAGAAAAAGTCCCTAGTTTGAGGAAAAGTACATTTTAACTGTGCCTTTTATCCGATGTAGTCAATGAACACATTATATGTTCACTATCAAGATTATAGTACAAAGAGATTTTTCCAATGTAATCTGTTCAGAAATCTAAAATCTAGGAACACAGAATCTCGCATAAAATGGTCAACTGAAATAGGCAAAACACTGATAAATGCAGTAGCATGTGCTGACGATGTAGTTATCGTTAGTAAACATCCACAGGAATTACAATATCTAGTGAATATAGCTGTACAATACAGTGAAGATCTGCCCACAGTTTAATGCTCCAGATCCGGGTATTTACATCCTATCTGGTATCCTACCTATTGAAGCTCAAATCGATCAGAAATCATTTAATCTATTTAATAACATATGTAACCAAAATGAGGAAAATTTGGAAAAGAAAATAGCAAGAAGGTAAATAATTACTAAAAGTGAAGAAAGTAACAGCTGGTTCATAGCGATCAAGAGAGTACTATTCAAATACGAATTACCATCACCAATCCTACTGCTGAAAGATCCACCAACGAAACATTCATAGAAGAAATCCGTCTGTATAGCAATCGACCGCTATTGGAAAAATTTACTAATACAAAAAAGTGGTACTTATATATCATTGAAATACCTTGGAACATTGAACTTATCACCAGGAAACTGTCATACTTTATTATCCATTGGTAGTACAAGTGATCCAACCAGAGAGGCTGTCTGTATGTCCGTAAAATTAAAACTTATTACTGATACTTACATTCTACAATCTCATAGATCAAGATATAACCTGAACGAAACACCCATCTGTAAACTATGTGATATAGATGTCGAAGATCGCTCTCACTTTTTACTAAATTGTAAATTCCTCAATACATTAGAGAAAAATATCTCAACCAAATTGACGAACTAATTTCTGATCTCTTAAACATCAGAATAAGAGACATACCCACCGATGACCAAATACAAATTATTTTGGATTGCTCCGTGCTACTTTCCCGGTATACAAGTGATACTCACCTACTACAACGAATAGAAGATATATCAAGACAGATGGTATATGCTCTTCATGTGGCTAGATATAGAACTTTAGATATCAAGAAGAAATAACTGTTATAAAACTTTACTACAGTGAACTAAGAATATTGCTAGTGTGCCATGAACGATTACTAATAACTCAACCCTAATGCTTTTAGTGTATATATGGTGATGGTTCCAATATGGTGTACATATAGATAACCGAAACATACCTACTTATTCGAAGTTGTCCTGACGTGGACGGAAGAAGAATTCCAGGAGGAAGGAAGGATGACTCGGTACAATTAAGACAAAACTGTGTAGGCTCATAGCCTTATACAGAATAACCTCTTCCGGTTGCAGTGTTTAACGCCTCACTTAACTTTAGACGTATTTTGATGTGGATTCTTTGAAATGCCTAAGGTCTACTGCAAAATCTTATCAAAACTTTGGATTTTTTTTATCCTTTATACTACTATTCCCCATGCACAATTGAAAGATGGATGGACTCATTAAACACAGCTTTTTCTACAAAAATGGGAATCATAGTTTCTTGTTTAAAGTCACGCATATTTCTTACTAAGTGAAGTACTACAGTGATTTTAAAATATACAGAAAATGGTATCAAAATGCTGGACTCTTTGATCGACAACATATTTGTTCAGTTTGGTGGATTGATATGCCAACAGACAGTCGGTCTTCTAATGGGTACTAGTTGTGTACCCCTATTGGCCGACTAGTTTTTGTACTCATTTGAAGCAGATTTCATACAAAACCTTTTTAAAAACAAAAAGAAAAAAAAACATCTTGCAAAGTTCTATAACTTCACTTTTAGATATATTGATAATGTCCTGTCACTCATTAATCTACATCTAAGTGAGTGCTTGTATCTCATTTAACCCATGATATTGACACAGATGGACGACTACAAACTAGAATCTATGACAAACGTGATGTTTCAACTGTTCCCGTTTCTCAGCAGTAACATACTTCAATCTTTGGATACCAGAATAGTAGTCTTATCAGTAATTTTATCGATTGTGTCCTATTCCAGATTGTGACATTTTGACTGAGTGTTGATTCGCATGGCGGGTGATGCATTCATAGCAGGAGATAGTTCTACCCTGTCGACGCACCGGTCTCGCTCATTTTGAAGATCATGCGATTTTCTCAGCTTTTTTTGTTACCTTGATTTGTCATCTTAATCGAATTTATTAGATTTAGATCTCGGTAAACTGCTGTTGTCTTTATTCATTATATTTTTTATAACTTAAAATGACAAAATTGTTTAAATTTTCTTACGATTTGAAATGAAAATAATCAACAAGCTTGCGGTTAATATCAATGTTTCATTTCCGTCGATCAATCACGATACTAAACGAATAAGATTTGTTGTTCTCCACAGCTACTTTATATTTGCTAGATGAAATGCTTTACATTAGCATAGATTAAGTACTTGTACGAGAAATTAGAAATACAAAAAACACATCGTGACTGGGAAAAGATAAAGTTCAAATAAGATTTTCCTGTACCTGCTTCCCGGTAAGTTTCTTAGTATAATAAAAAAAATCAGAATCATCAATGAAAAGTGTTAAGAACAGACTGTTTCTTATAGGGCCCTATCATAGATTTTAGATTAGCTGTATCGGCCCTTTACTCATCGGGATTCGAGACCAATACAGCTTACCTCGAATCTATACAAAATCCAGTACAGAAACTGCCACTTATAAATAGAGAATTCTTTATTTGATAGATTTTTATTATATATGTGGGCGCATTTATTTTACAGGTAAACACAGATATATTATAAAGTTTATTTCATATTTTTTTTTACTTTGATATGACACAACGCATCATCACATATCAGTTATATTGGCGGAGGTGGAAGTGGGGTTTCGAGCAAAATAACTCCGTTTTATAATGCACAGAAAAAACAAGCACTAAGTCATTATAGCATAAAAACTAGTCATATAAAAGCTAAAGTGCGATATTAATAAAAGTAAATCTAAAGAGTAAAATGCACTGATCTGACATTGCCGTACGTGCTGAGTATAAAAAGTCCAAAGCTATAAAACGTCTAAAATGAAAACGCACATAAGTAATATAATATTGCGCCCAACCGTCAAAAAAATGATCCCAAATTGTAATGCGCCATCTGAGAGGTTATCCAAGTTGGACGGTAGCCATTGATATTAAACATAGACCCATATTTTTTTCATAGAAAATGTGAAAATGTATGAAAATATCGCTAAGACAAAACAATAGCGTTTAATGTAGGTATTTGAGTTTAAGAAATGATTAATCAATTGTTTGGTATCTGTATTCGTTTTTTAAAATTGAATGTGTTCAAGTAGCTTAGGCCAATAATACTGCTTACCTTTGCCCCAAATAAATTGAGGTATTCTAAGTAATGATACCCAAAACCACGACCCCAGTTTCTCATTGGAT